AGCGCCTATCTCTTCGAGAAACGAGAATACTGGAGTTGCCTGATGAAGCTCTGTGCTGTGCGGTTTCACCAGATGGCAAGGTAGTTAAAGCACATTTCTCTATCAGATCTGAACCTTATTTGATTTCTAGTTCGTAATAATTGGTCTGCTAGACAACACTGCAGGAGTTTACTTCTTTGACACGCTGAAGTTTTTCATTTCACTCTATGGTCATTCCTTACCTGTAACGTGTGTTACAGTAAGCCCAGTAAGTGATCCTTCCTTGATAATAGTATTTTGAAGTTGTTGCATTTCATAGAACAGCAAACTAGTTGTGACTGGCTCTGCGGACAAGTCAATAAAAATCTGGGGACTCGATTTTGGTGACTGCCACAAGTCTTTTCACGCCCACGATGACGTGTACGTTCCAGAGCATCTTCATATTTTCTTTTTACGTCATCATTTGTTTTCATATCATTGTTCCTTCCATTCTCTGAAATTGTAAAGCGCTATAGTACTGAGTTGATCTCAATCTCATTTCTTCATAGTATCTTGAGTCTTTGACCGCACGGATTGGGAGTACATTGCGGAGCACGTGCGCGGCTGAAGTGCCACAAAAACACGACTTGCATAACGGCGATTTGTACTGTGCGAGCTTTTCTGCGCGGCGTGCGCTCCGCCATCTAGGCAGTTCCTGCGGTTTACGAGTCGACAGTACATAATTGGCCCTGTTCAGTGTTTCGGCTGTGCTGTTTTCACCTTCTGAAGAGTTGCTCGTTTGGTCAGCCGGTAGAGATGGTAAAATTAAGCAGTGGGATGCACAGAAGATGTCTCGTGTACAGGTTTGTAATTTTCACACTTATGGTGGTATGCATATGGTGGTTCATCACCATATGCACCATATGGTGGTAACAAAGATTGGTCATCTAACGCGTTTTCGCATCATGTGTAAGCTATCGCACTGAGAAGTGGCGGTTTTTCTGTAGAGGACGAGAGACCAATTTTATATGACTTTTTAACCCTCTTTGGGGAGTAGACTGAAATCTAGCAATCTAGTGTGCCTAGAAATGATGGACAACCTGCAAACAGAAAACGCCAGCACATTTTTGCAGCGAACCTCACAACTATCAGCACTTGTCCGAAAATTCGAAGTGGCTTGTATAAATATGTAATAGTGTGTGTTCTTTTCAGGTTTTGGATCGTCACTCAGCTGAAGTCCGCGCGTTAGCGCAAACGGACAATGGTAGCTCGCTGGTGAGTATGAAATAGGACAATTCTTTCTTATCACCTATATTGACAAAAGTTCAAATTTTAGTTCTCAGCATCGCATGACAAATCTCTTCGATGTTGGGAACTGACTGAGGAGCTAATTGTTGTACAGGAAGAAGAAGAAATGGAAAGGTTATTTTTTTAGTCGGCATAGCACACTCAGCTGATAGGCTAATTAGAATATATGACTCTCAGATTACATATAATCAGTTGAATTTCATAGTTTGAGTCCTTGCATCGATTTCAAACCCGAAAAAAAGTGGCTGTGACTTTTGCCGAATTTTTGAACCCTAGGGAAAAAGATTACGAATCCCGCCTCCTTGAAGAAGAAGATGTGGTATCTGGTGAGGTGGCTGAACCTGAGGCTGGCTTAGCGACTGTCAAGAATACTCAAAGCATAGCATCGGTAATAAATGAATTTCGGCATTTGTTCAGCCGCACAGTTTGATTGTGATACTGATGCATGTTTTAGGCGGAAAACATCATTGAAGCAGTAGACATTGTAAGGAACGAAAAGGTCCAAGTGAAGGAAAATCCTGAGGTTTGTGAATATCTGGAAGTGTGGGAACTTTGTTTTCACGATAATGAACTCTTTACAGCATGAAGCTCATCCTCTGATCAAAGCTTACAACAGCAAGTCTTATGACCACTTTATCATCGACGTTCTGTCACGATGTAGACCGAGGTATTATATAAATGCTCTTGTGAGACATTCGTAATTGGTTGTATTCCGGATAATTTAGCAATCTGGAACGGTGTTTGCTCATGGTTCCTTTGAGCTACATTGCTGACATTCTCACAGCAGTTTCTGCTTGCGTACATCAACACTACAAAGTTGAACTTGCCGTGCGAGTAGCGATATTTTTGATAAGGTAGAAGTTTTATTTCTTAGCTTGCAAGAATTATCTACTTTTTATACAATTTATTTCTAGAATACATCAGAACCACATCATCAACTCTACAGAAATGCTTCCAGTAATCGAGAAAATTAGTTCGGAAATGCCGCAGGGAATCAGGGAAGTCCGGGTATGAATTACAAACCCTTGTGTATTTTTTCGTATATAAACCGCACTCTATCCAGTGAAGAGAAGTACTGTTAGCTACGCTACTCTACCCTTTCGGACCTGGTGGTGGCAATTTCCACCATCACTTCAGAGACTTGTTGTACTGGAGCAAGGACATACTTTCAATGCTTATTGGTACAAGTAGCTTCATACAACCTTTGCCTTCCATCTACAGCTTTGAAGCCGCTTCTTCATTCGTTTTCCTGTCAGCG